CGTAATGGTCATATGAAAATGCATTAAATCACACTTATCATATTTTATAGTAGGGCAGGGAAAAGAATGCACATATGTGTATTTTCATATTTTATATTGATTTCAGTTATGTTTCAAGACATTATGTAAACATTTTAAGCATAACATTAAAATTCTTTTAGGCGCCAATTTTATATGTATAAACAAATCATCATAGAATAATTATCAGAATAAAATCATCTTCCAAAATGGTGAGGGTTCTTGTCAATGAACTTGAGAGCTTACAGTGCATGATTATTAAAACGCAAATTCATCAGTGTTCCCCCCCTTAGATGCAAAATCAAACATTCAAGAATGAAAGAGTGTTCCGAAACAATGCTTTTACAAATAAGTTTTGTTGGGATATACTTTTACATGTTCACGAAAAATCTGAAAACAAGGTTGAAAAGGACAAGAAAAATTTGTCTATCTTAAACGAAATTTTAGCAAACAATATTTCACAATCCACCGCCCCGATCTCTTAATCTCCGAGAATAAGTAATCGCCAGAGAGCACCAATGTAAACTAGAAAAGCAAATTTTCGAAAATGGAAGGAAACATCCGACTACGGCCTTACTTGTAAGAGTAGGAAATTTGCTTGTTGATTTCATGCCGCTAAATAGTATCAAAATACTCGAACTTCCCCCCTTTGAATTAACCATTAAAAGTGAAAATACGGAGTGACCGAAAGAGAAGTTTAACCTGCTTAGTCGCTTGTGTGGGATACATACATGGATCTCGCTCTACGGTCAGGGTCAAATACTACAACAATACGGGGGTCACATAAATTACGTTGAATTCAGGTTGCTATAATTTCAACACATAGCATTCGATGATGCTGCTCCACATTTCACAAAGTAAATCAAGAGGTATATCTTACCTAAATGCTAGGCAGCTCTACAGATCATGGACGATAACCCAGAAATCCGTGACCGCTTGAATGTCAACAAATCAACGTATCACAACAAACGACCTCGTGAACGCTTTATCTGCTTCATCTGCTTCATCAGATGAGCCAAATGGATGAAAATTAACCAGCTAAATGGTCCTTCTCCTATACATGACACTTCAACATGGCTTAGCCAAAGTATCCAATCTATAATACATGCCTGCTATTGACTGGATATGCAAAAAAATCTCCTTGAAAGTCCTTCAGGACAGCTTTCGGCCATTACGATTTCCGGTCAACAAGTCAACAAGTGCTTCCCAGCAAGCTTGACGCATGCGCAAACGTTACCACTTGCTGTTCTCGTCAAGCTGATTTTCGAGTGCGAGCATCCGTTTATTGATGAACCGATGGTCATAACTGAGCCCGCTGTACCAATCGCACTGGTACTGGGAGTTATAAGCCCTGGTTGTATCCTAGCAACTTGCAGCGTATACTCAACAACAACGCTTACTCGGATCGATTCATGCAGAATCTTTTCTTTAGTACCCCAAAATTGAGCAATTAAAAGAAAGGCCCTGCTGTCTAACGGGTTTGATAACCTTACCACTTTCATAGCTATGATTTATGTAACTTATCCGACAACTATATGGATCTGCGACACAGTTGTCCAGTAATCAAACGGTCAGGAAGCCATTCTACCGCAAATTGTGTACTGAACAATGTTACTTTCTTCTTCTTTTACAAAATTATTTATTTTGTACCATTCTCTACAGTAGGTTATCGCCTGAAATCAGTAACAAACCAAGCGAGGTTAAAAGTCCATTTAAACTTACTTTCTTAACCGGCGAGCACGCTCTCCGGGCGAAGCGAGCGGCGGAAGAACGCGCGAGTGAGAGGCGTGTCCTCGAGGGCTTCCCCGCGTCTCGTACTCGCGTCTCTTTTGGCGTGCGGGTGTCGCGTGAATACTCGCGACTCACCCAAATGGAGAGCTTACTCGCAGGCAGTTACCTTGAAGAAAAGATTCACTTTAAAGTGCAAATCTGACTCACTTCTTTGTTATACAGAATCAGTTTCAAATGCAGTCTCACTTTTAACTGCATATTCACTCTTACTCTAAATAGCAGACTCACTTTTTTCGGGAATTAGCTCACTTTCAGATACACACGAGGCAGTGCAAACTTACTTTCGAGAGCTGGTTACTTTTCCAGTGCAGACTTGCTTTCAAGGACAAATAAAAAAGGACAGAGTTTAGTTCATGGAATTAGTTTATCGCCCGATGTCATCTTTGATGTCATCAATTCGACAACCAAAAAAGCAACGACAGACCAGGAAAAGCGAGGATGGCGTAAGCTGTCGACTCCTTTCTGTGCTTTACCAAAACAAAAAGACAAGGTAAAATGACTCAATTAAGTGTTTTGAGAAAAGGTTGACACCCGATGGTTATTTCAAATCATTTCGTTCACGAACCACAGAGTCATCACTACGAATTCAGCTTGATGTAAATTAAATTAAAGACGGACTTGACAGAGTCAGAGTAGAGAGCTAGAGTAGCAAAGTTCATGCTGTTCTCAAGTGTTTAGCTTTTCTTGGTGTCCCTGTAACTAAAGCGCCTATTTCTTGAGACGCTCTAATGCTTTTTAAATAAACAAAAATTTATGGACCACTCATGCCTACATCCATGCATGATTAAACTAAAATTTAGTTTTGCAATGATCTCCTAGCCTGAATTTCCGACATCATTTCGAGTCGCTTACTGCTTCTGTGACTGATCCAGGCTAATGATCTCCATTCTCGGCCTCGCTTTTTACTCCACTTTTCCTTAAAATGTCGTATAGCTCTGTATGTAAACCTGTGAACTGTTTTATAGAGAAACATTATTTTTTCTTACTCGATGGCAAATGGGTAAAATTTCCATGATTATAACCCAATCACCCAATTTACAATCAATTAGGTTTAAGTCATTAATTTTTTACTTCCCCCACTGTCATTAGCTGGTTAAAACGCTACTATGCAAAAAAGAAAAAAAACAACAACAACAATCAAGAAAAAACTACGATATTTAAAGTTCGAGAACTGGGCCCGGTTTCAAGAAGGATGGTTAATTTTAACGCAAGATTAACCTAAATTTTGAGCACGGTTTTCCCTTCTAAGAACATGTAACTCAAGCTTACAAAATACGGCTGAGCTTTTACTCTGCATGAGATACTGTAATGATAACATAAAATGTTACTCTAAGGGCTCCTGATTCCTTTTAAATAAACGTAATTTGTGCCAAAAACTGCTGAATCGTCAGGACTGCATACATACATAATAAGTGAAATAAAATCATCAGTTTTGTATGATCCCCATTCTGGGCCTCGTTTTTTTTTCAACGTTTCCCCAAGTTGCAAATGGCTCTGCAATTTCTTTGAACCTACCAGCCGTTTTAGAAACAAGAAACAGCTATTGACAGTAAAGTACGGATAACCATAATTATCATAAATTTATCCCAATCTACAATCGAATAGGGCTACGTTATAAATTTTCCAATCTAATTTTTTCTTTTCTTTTTTCTCTTTCTTTTTTCTTAATTTATAATGTTTCTTCTAAAATATGTTACCATTCTTATCTGCAGGTCGTAAATTCGAGTTGAAATAAATGCATAAATGTGCATTTAGTTAAGGTTAGAAACCCACGCTAAACAAAAAATGCCAGAAGCCTTTCAGCGTTTTGAAATCTGCAGGAGAATTTTGTATAGTGTCGTTATCATCGCTCGCCTAATTTGTCGCATTCTATAGCAATAGATAAATAGATTAACAGAAGAATTAATATTGACAACTGTAAGTGCAAAGTTTATGGCAATCCAGCTGCAATTCGTGTAGTCGTAAGATTTGACAACAAGCAAGCAGATCAAGTACGGACGATAGCACAAAAGAAGCACACAATGTACTACGAACATGTTAAAAGTGTTTCGTTTTCGCTGGGTCATCTTCTCATGGTTTCTAGCGTTCATTTCAGTACTTATGATTTGTCTCCGGTGATAACGAATGATTCGATAAATTTTGATGTAAGCCACGAATGAAATTAGAAGACACAGAAGTATTCGAGTGGAAAAGAAATGAGATCTGTATTTTGGAGTGAGCCACACACAAATGAAAGGCAATGTTCCACCAATAAGCCAAAGCGTTATCAGAAAGTTTCGCGCTCTTTTTTACTGTAACTATGTCCTCGTAGCGTAGATGAAGACAAAGTGCGATATACCGCTCTATACTTACGCTAACAACAGAGCCAAATGAGACGGATGTTAAGACAGAACCGAAAACGCTGACAGCTACAGACGTCAAACAGGTGAAAGTACCTGCTCCAGTTTCAGCGTAGGAGAGCAAAAATGCCATAAAGAACGGCTGAACGATTAATCCGACTCCCAAATCCGATAATGCAAGCCCAATCAACAACAAGTTTGCTGGTGCGTTGCGAAGTGTGTGGGATGGCCATATTGACAAGATAACAAGAACTTTGGTAAGGATAGCGTTGAAACAGAATGGAACATTCAAAACGGCGTTTACCACAAACGCTGTCTTGAAAGGTTAATTTCCAACAGTCTTCATGTATCGATAGCCGCTGAAGCGGTCACAGAAGAGTGAACTTTCGGTTGAGATCATGGAATTACTGATTGTCGAAAGACCTTGGTGTGTGCCGTGCGTAGTGATTTTTGTAATTTAAAAGTTCGTCATGAGTTTCAGTAATGGTTTCAGATACTTCAATGGCCAATTAAATGCAAAAAATAATGAAGGTGATGTCACGAAACGTGCGCACCTGTAACTTGGAAACAATGTTATAATTGCGGGCATGTTTTATAAACGTCATATCGAAGCTAACAAGCTTCCGCATGCCGTCTGTTAGTTTCTGTTAGCCGTAATCTACGGCGCGGCCAGCGCTAGCATTACCATTTTTTTTATTAACAAAATTTTTTTTAACCTATCAACCTATAAGTCATTCTTTTCCATTGTTATAGAAGAGAGGAGATTGGAGTAAAAGAAAAAAATTAAGACCGATAGTAATCATTTTTCTTGCTTGAAAAACAGTAAAGACGATGTTGAACTAGGAAGAAGGTCAAAGAGAGTACTCGCCCCCAGGTGGTATAGTCAAACACGATGACTTACACTCACACAAAGGTTGTTGTCTCTCACTTTGCCTGGGGCAAATTTTATTGAAACACATGATTTTCATGGAAAACTTAGTGTCTTTGTTTTTATTTGCGGAAAGTACGTTTTGACGTACGGCTTTGGTTTCAAGGTTACTCTTGTTAGCAGAGGCTACATTATCCTGTTATGAAGTGGCGAGCAAAAACTTTTCGCGCCAGCCCTTCATAAATTCAAGATCTGAGGAGTGAGTACAGCGCCGGATTATAACAAGAACATTGGCCAGTGTTGTGATAATGCAAAACGGAACGTTAAGAATGGCGTCTATGATGAATCCTGTTTTAAAAGGATCGTTTCCCGCTCTTGACATGTAATGGTAACCCTTAAAGCGGTTACAGAATTTATCCGCAGAATGAGCAAGTGAAATCTTTTCCATATCGAAGTCCTAACGAGCAGTAGGTCCTCCTTCACTATGTAAAACAACTCGAAAGAGCAATATTTGACCACTGCCCCGGAGTGCGGCTTTTGGTTTCCATGTTGCGTATGTTGTTCGAAAACGGAAATGTTATTTTAAAACAAGGGTGAAAATGAAATATTAGCACCGAAAAGGAAGTCACTGTCATAGTTTAATATCTGGACTCAAGTGACAATTTATAATTAATTACCTATAAAACATTTCTAGCACCTTAAATGGCCAAGAAACCCTCGCAAAACGTTTATTAAAGGTAGAAAGATTGGGCACAAAACTTGACCTCTTTGAAAAACATTCTTCACTTAAATATCTTAGAATCCATAACTTCATTGAACTAAATAAAGATAGATGACGATGCGTTTTTCTTAGACATGCTCCTAGGGACCGGTCATTATTTATGTGGGGGTAGATGACATGTATGACACAACGTCTAAATTTTCTTGCGAATATTTGTTAGTTGCCAGATTGTGATGAGTACGTGTTCGATGAGTGTCTGAGGGAGCGAGGGTGGAGGGGAAGTGAAGGTTTGGGTAGGACGGACGTATTTTTTTGGTAAAGAAAAGGGGGGGGCAAAACGAGAGTTGCACGGTGTGTGGGGGTGTGTCATTGTGTGTTTTGTAAAGAATCACACTCACTACAATTCATGTGGAAGATCTAAATAAATTCCAATGCAATGCTGGAAATAAAATATACTACTGGATGACACATGTAGCAATCCAACCTAAGTATGGAGAATCAAAGATGTGGGCACTAAATATCAATAAATAAACATAAGCCCAATTGAGAAGGCTTGCATGCTTCCTTTTCTTAATATAACTGTCTGGGAACTTTTACTAACTGAAGCGTGAACAGCTAGAAATCATTATTGGTTTCAATAATGGATTATTGAATTCATTATTCAATTTAGAATTAGAATTACATTGAGCACTTGTCGCAACTGCAAAGTGTCAATGAGATCCATAAGCAAGAGCGAAGAAAAGGAAAGCAAGTTCGAGCCTTAAAAGATGTACATTGCTATGACTGGAAAACGCGGTGGATAAGAATGAAAAGTTATTCAACACGAGGCGGTCGGGTAAAATACAATTTCGGACGTGTGGGTAGAAAAAGAAAGACAAAGAACCAAAAACGAAGCCCCCCTCCCTCAAACTCACTTGTAAATAGCTCAAAACGGCTATCTCGACCTGAGATATGTAGGAAACAACAAGATCTTCAATTATCAATGAATTTGACCAGGGTTTTCGTTTTCCCCACCTCAACCCCAAATGTAGAAAACCAAGACTTTCCTCCAAATCACTTAAAATGCTTTCTAGAAAGGAAAGGCAAAAGGTAAGTAGGCTTTCATAGATTGTGCTAGCATAATGTTTGGCATAATTTGCCATTACGAGCATAATTTTCATATTTTTTTCCGAAAAAAAGCACTGTTAGCATAATTTGCACTTTTGGCTAGTTTTGCAGCACAAAGTTGTCATTTATTGATCACGCAAGAAACTCTTTTGGCCGGCAAACAGTGTTTTACAGGCAGATTTAAGTTACAAAATCAATTTTTTGTCCGCTTATTGTCACATTCATGGGACCTGGATCAGACAGGAAGTGACCCAGAACTTTTCCACAGGATTTCCACGGGACTCAACGCATGTGCATAACTAGCTGGGCTGTTTGTGTTCTATTTCTTATTGTCAAAACAGTGAATGTTGTAGCGGAGATTTTTGACCGGTTCGTAGGATAGGCTTCTCTTGAAATTACAAGGTGTTGCAGTGAATCAATCTTAATGAAGATTATGAAGATTAAGTTTTTTAATAGGAGATTTTAAAAAAATTCGTTCGAGTCGTTTCAGAGATATACAAAAAAGCGCTAAAAGTCCAGATTTTGAATGAAGTTACACTTAGACAGGTGGTGAGAAAACCAGTTAGTTTTTAAGATAGCAAGAACGAAAATACGCCAAAATTTCCTAGCATCGAAATATGATATTAAGCAGCATTCTGACGCTACTTAAGAATAATTTGAGTCATTTATAACGTTTTCATTATAAATAATCTATCACGGCTGTTGAAAATTTAGGGTTTGAACTATATTTTCGTTTTAGTCGAATTCAAACATACAACAACAACAACAACACCAAAAGCTTTATTTGCACGACCATAAAGGAATTACAGTATTGCAAAAGCTATAAGTCTAAATTTAAGTACTAATTCAACTAATTAGTACGTGCAAAACATTACAAAACGTTACAGTTCTCATTCATTCATTCATTGATATTAATTTGGTTCTTAATTCAAAGCATTGCGAGATAAATGAAACTAATTTACAGTTAATTAAATAATCAGAAGTATTCATAAGAAGAGATATTAAAGTATCGTGTGAAAGTGATTTGAAGTCAGGTATTTTAGTTTCTAGTTTGGAGAAAAATATGTCTCTGATCTGAGAATAATCCTTACAATCTAGTAAGAAATGATTTTCATCTTCGATTTTGTTACTTGTACAAAAGTGACATATCCTTTCATTGCGAGGAATGTTTTCGTATCTACCTGTTTCAATTCTAAGTTGATGACTACTTATTCTAAATCTAACTAATGCTTTTCTCGAAGGGTTTTTTCTTGTTAAAACTAGGTACATACAGAATTTTTTACGTCTTACGGTGGGTATTTGCTAACCACCAAACTTTAAGCTCCTGGTGCTGGATTTTCAGTAGTTGGTCTAGATTTCGCAAAATTAGGCGTTTATCAATTTCAAAGTTTTTTGTTTATTGTTGTTGTTGTTGTAGCCGATTTTGCTAAAACCTACATTTTGACAAATTTCAATCTATAGTCCGTGATCATTAGTGAAAATTTTATAGCGATCCGACTGAGGATAAAATCACTTTTAAAGCGATTGAAAAACATCGGTATGTCCTCTGAAAAACTATATCAAAACACCTTAACAGCTACTTTATTTAAAGTAAAAAGTAGAAGCAAAAATTTTTGCCTTTTTTTGCTAAAATAGGCATAATTTACGAAAACTAGCATAATAATTGGCATCATTTAAGTCTCTTGTTTAAGAAATAATATACGAGCACTGCTAGTAGCGTTTTATGTTACTTTTGAAAGCACAATCTATCCGCGAAGCCTAAAGGTAAGTTGTTAGTTCAAACTTATTTGTTTTAAAATTCCGGTAGCCTGCGTAGCTGGCGAGATCAGCAGGCGACTTCTGTGGTATTTTGGCGGGCGGAGCCACCCCGGGCACAACAATCCCGCCAGCTACGCGGGCTATAATTCTGGCTGAAAGAAAATTGTACATCTTGTTTGATTTGAGAGTTATTTCATTAACAGTATTTGTTTTCTGTTGACAAAGTTAAGAACTGAAGGCTTAGAGCCAAGACTAAAATACTATTGAGTCTTAAGATAAAACACCCTATAAACTGATTTGGAGGCCCCTGAGTCTCTCATAAATCCAGTCTAAGTTAGATTTCGTTAGTTAATAAACCCCCCTTGATTTTTTCAGAATACTATACTAACGCAGCAAAAACCCAAGGGCGGAAGGGGTTCCAGCACCATTTTAATTTATCACGGTTGGGGTATGGATTTGCAAAACGTGTGCATCTGATCTTTCTTTAGAGTTGTTTGCCATTTTTGAACTAGTGTCGGCTCTGATAGTGAAAGCTATGCGAAACAGAAAAGAGAAGAAGAAAAATATTTATGGGCCCTTGCACTAAGTCAGCATATACTGGAAAGGGTTTTCATTTTCAAGTCTCTCATAAACCGCACGACTTTTCTATAAACTCTAGTTTCTTTCGGTTGTTTGTTTGGCCTGTTTGCCATTTTGGGCCACGTTACAGCAATGAAACAAAAAGGCCAAAGCGAAACAACAAAACAACACGTGCCACAACTCATCACGAAAAGCCTTACAAAAGGGTGTTTGCAAGTAATGATCTGCTATGTGCTATAATTATCCTAAGTTAGTAATAAACTCGCGTTATTTTCAGTCAGCTATTTTTCTGTCACAGACAAGTTACATTTTAATTTTATCCCTTGTTTAAAAATAATAGATTTCCCACTGTATATCGTTTTGTGTAGTTTTCCATTTTATTTCTGTCTTCCTTTCTATGTGAATCAATATAAGTCATTGAAACTGAAAAAATATGAAATAGGCTTCTCAATGTAAAAAAATAGTCCTATGATTACGTGGAAAGACTTTCAGTATCTCAGTATATTAAGGACAAGTTTCAATCGTGCTTCACTTGCAGGAAAGAAGGTGTTTTGGTAAGTACACGCAATTATTCTACTAATGCAGTCGTTAGTTTTGTTTTATTAGAAGCGTTATTTTGTTTCGTTCCGTGACAGAATATCGTAACAAAATATCAACAAATTGGATGGGCTGAGTTCGTGTAGCCTTCGCGGCTGGCGGGATTGAGGTACCTTCTTAGCAGTGGAGCTGTCACGCGAAGCGAGTGGCGAGGCTGCGCGCGGAGGAAATTCCCTCTCAATCTTCTCGCGGGTCCCCCACCAGAAAACTACACCACTCGCACGCTACTCCCGCCAGCCCTGCTTGAGTTCATGTGTTCAGTAATTTTTTCTTTGATCCCATCGAGATGGGTGCTGTAGTCACGGTTTTCATTGATTAGAAAATGATGGATTATGTTACGTTTACAAATTTTTCTAACATATTTTAAAATATTTTTAAATATCTCATATGTCGACGTAACGTGCGGTCAAATAAAAGTGAAATGTAATCGACTCACTATATATATACCTTGGACACCTAGCTAATAAGGCCCGGTTATTACGAGGAAATATTGGCCGCTGAGCAGTCAATCGAAATGCGTACTATTGTAGCCATATACTAATGCTCTTTAACTCATCCACAGAGCAATAACAAGATCCAGATCTTAGACGTGCCTGATAGTTTGTGATACGCTGTTCCCTGCTAGCAGATTCTCCTTTTCGGTTAATTCTGCTCGTAGGGAAGACACACTGCCACACACTGACGGG